TTTTACTTATTGTTTGTATGCATTTTTCAATATAAACATAAATGAGTGACATAGGTATCCTGAGATTTGATTATTATTTATAGCCCACGTAGACTATACTCCTGAGAAAGTGATCTACTTACTATTGGTTAAATTCCTTCTTTAGTAGAGGTTTAAGCATATGATTATAAGTAGGCTGAAAGTATGTTATCACAAAAATTAAAAGAAATATAAAAGAAGGAGGATGAAGGGTGGGAGTGAGGGTGAAAGGGTGGGAAGTGTTGTTATTTTTCTTACATTGACATATAAATACATGAAATCTGTGCCCTTTAAATAAATAATAAAATTTGAAAGTCTTAGTTATGCAAAGTAAAAAAAACACTATTTTCTGAAACAATTTCTAATAGTATACATTCAAAATCTGCAATGACTGAAAACTCCAGCCAAAGTGAACAATCACAGATATAGCTGTAACCAATGGAAAGATCCCAGCTTCCAGGTCCAAGTGCTTGGGCCCCTGAACCCATGTGGGTGACCCAGAAGAAGATCCAGGCACCTGGCTTCCATCAGCCCAGCTGCAGCCATTGCAGTTATTTGGGAAGGGAACCAGCAGATGGAAGGCCTTTCTCTCTGTCTCTCCCTCTTATTGTAACTCTACCTCTCAAATAAAGAAATAATTAAAAAAAATCATCCATTGCAATCCTGTTGACCTTGAAATGAGAGCAGGGTCATGATGCTGTACCTCAATAAAACATCTCTAGATTCCATCAAGTGGGCAGTGTCTGTTCTGTTCCAGGGGAGGTTTACCTGCCAGGGAAGAATCATGGGCTGGGATGCTTCTGCTAAGGATCTCATTTCTACTTTCTCCAAAATCATTTTATGGAGGACGTGGGCCACTGTGTAGACAGCATTGTAGACTAAATAGCTGGAGTCAGATATGGTCAGCAAGTCAATGTGTCCTGGAAGAAACTCTAAGGAAGTATTTGGTGAGCAGGTTCCAATATGTCCACAAAATGATCCTTCAAGTGAGCAGCCCAGATGAAAAAGCCATAATTTACTGAAGTAAAAGTCTTCTGGGTAGTGAGAAGGCTTTGCCATCTTGACAAAAAGTTTGAGTCCAAGGATTTCTTCCTTGTGGGGTGAAAAGGAGAAACCTCCATGAAAAGAGTGCAACATGTGGTTTGTCTCAGAAATGACAAGATCACACTTTGATGTCATGATCCACACTTTCCCCATGGTTAAATATGACTGCACTGAAATGTCCACACTGATGAGACCTCTTACATCACCATAGAGTATATGCACATTTGCAGATGAAACTCTGATGCTACTCATGAAAGTGAGATCACTATCCGCATACAACTTCTTTGTGACAGGGAGCTTAACTGTAAAGGCCACACAGATTCCTTTCTTGAGCATCGCTGCTTCAAAGTACTGAAGGAACTGCTCTCCCTTCATGTCATCAGACACAAAGAGCGCCACCCAAGTCCAGCCAAAATGCAGCAACAAGGAGATCATTCCATGGCCCAAAGAGCTGTCACTGCTGGCCATCTGATAGAGTGAGGGAAACTGGTCCTTATCATTTAGCATGGGATCAAAAGGGCCATAGGTGAGCTAAAAGGTGAGCTAATATCTCACTAAAAAGGCCTTCTAATCCTTTCTCCCTCTCCATGTCTTCAGGAACTGCTAGAACCCGAATGTTGGGTTTTTTAATAGTATCCTGAAGATTCCCGACAATATGTTTTAGATTCCTAATTTCCTCGTCTTTTCTTTGGTCTGACTGTATCCTTTCCTGTTCTCTGTCTTCTAAGTCCGATATTCTCTCTTCTGCTTCACCCATTCTGTTTGTAAGGCTCTCTATTGTGTTTTTCATTTGATCTATTGAATTCTTCACTTCAGTCACTATCAGAGTTTCCTGTTGTACTAGTTGTTTCATTTCATTTTGATTCCTCCAATATTTCATTTTCACAAGAGAGATTTTCTATCTTGTCCATTAAGGATTTGTGTAGTTCCAGAATTTGTTTTTGAGAACTTCTTAATGTTCTTATCAATTTTTTGAGATCTGCTTCTTGCATTTCTTCTATATCATCATCCTCATAATCTTGAATTGGTGTGTCTTTTTCATTTGAGGGCTTCATGGTGACTTCCTTGTTTTTATTACCTTGGTTTTTGCGTTTGTTATTTGTCATATTGGAGATATTTGGTTTCTTCACTCTGGTGCTTTTTCTTGTTATACTATGACTCTAGATTAAGTGGACTCTCTGTTTTTGATGGAGCCTTAGGGCTTGAGATGGGTGTGGCCTGAGAGCTCTGTTTGGTGTGCCAAAGGTGACACTCCCAGTTAGGCATGGTAAACCTCTCTCTCTCTCTCTCTTTCTTTTTTTTTTTGATTCAAAAGGGAAGTTATTCTGCACAGCTGAACAAAGTTGGAGGTAGTTCGCAGGCAAATGATATACCCACAGGAGGCAGAGATCAGAAGCTCTTTCCCAAGGACCACACAGGAAATCTGTTCGGCCCTCAGAGTGGGCTCAAATTCTCCTTCAGTCTCCCACTGGGTTGCCAAAGTTACGGAATTGTAGCGTCTCTGGAGAGTGCTCACGTGAATTTCGTGAGTTCTCTCCCCCACCGTCTCTTTTTTCACAGTCTCAGTTCAGTACACCACAAATTTACTAGGTCCTAATCTCCTGTTAATTCGCCCCACCCAGAGTCAGGTTTTTCTGCTAGGCTCAGGGCTGGTGCAGACCTGAGGTCGCTCTGCTTATGACGTATGTCCAAGATGGCGCCTGCTCTTTGTCTTGCTCACCCTTGAGAGGTGAGCGGAGAGAGAGAAACCCGTGTCCGTACCAGTCACCTTTTTTTTTTCCTCTCTCTCTCTTCCAGTTTGCCTGGTAAAGTTCCCCCCCCAGGGGTCATTCCCTCTAGTCTCCTCTCTCCGCTTGCCTGCCGGTGTTTCGGGCTATTGAGGTTCGGCTCACCTCGCGTACCAGCGCTGGTGTGTTGAGGCTGCTGCTGGTGTCCCGAACTGTGGGCTCCCACGCTCTCCACGCAGGTCCGCTCCCCTTCCAGTGCCGATCTGTGGACTTGGAGCCCTGGAAGTCCCAAGTCTCCCCACTGTTGTCTGTGTGGCACGCACACTCCTTCGAACACTGGCGCGCAGACCCTGCGGCTTGGGCGACTCGGTCCCGCGGCTCGGTCCCGCGGCTCGGTCCTGCGGCTCAGCTTCCGCGTGGTGGGCGACCTTGTTCTCCCAGTAAGTCCTCCGATTCATGGCTACTTGATCCAGAAGAGTTTCCTCTGCAATATTTTCCTGGTTCTTTTTTCTGAGGCTACCGTAACTCCCCTTTTATTAAACTAAATTTTCCCGGGCTATCGGTGTGGGCCCTCACTATTCCGCCATCAATCTCTTCCTCGATATGAACTTTAAGATTGCTCTTTCTACCTCTGTGAAGAATGCCGTTAGTACTTTGGCAGGTTTTGTACAGAATGTGTAGATTTATTTAGTTACTATAGATATTTTAAAGATACTGATTTCATGAACAAGGAATTATCTTTCTATATTTTTGTGTCCTTGATGATTTCTTTCATCAATGTTTCATAACTTTCATTGTAGAGATCTTGCATTTCTTTGGTTAAATTTATTCCAAAGTATTGGATTGTTTTGTGGATATTATGAATGAGATTTCTTTCTTGATTTCTTTATCGATGAGTTCATTAGGGTGTTAAAGAGCCCATGGGCGTTTTGGTGTTTATTTGTAACCTGCAACTTTACTGAATTAGTTTATCAGTTCTACAGCTTTCTGGTGGAGCATTAGGATTTTCCATGTACAATGTCATGTCATTTGCAAACAGATGGTTTGATCTCCTCCTTTCCAATTTTTTTAAAGATTCATTTATTATTTATTTATTTTAAAGATGTATTTAATTTATTTAAAACTTAGAGTTACACAGAGAGAGGAGAGGTGGGGGGTGAGGGGGTCTTCCACTCGATGGTTCACTCCCCAGTTGGCACAATGGCCAGAGTTGTGCCTATTCGAAGCCAGGAGCCAGGATCTTCTTCTGGGTCTCCCATGTGGGTGCAGGGGCCCAAGGACTTCTGCTTTTCCAGTCCATAGCAGAGAGCTTTATAGGAAGTAGAATAGCTGGGACTCAAACAGGTGCCCATATGGGATGCTAGCACTTCAGGCCAGGGTGTTAACCTACTGAGCCACAGCACCGGCCCCAAGATTTATTTATTTATTTTAAAGTCAGAGTCACACAAAGAAAGAAGGAGAGTCAGAAAGAGAAAGATCTTCCACCCGCTGGTTCACTCCCCAAATGGCATCAATGACCAGAGCTACACCAATCTGAAGCCAGGAGCCAGGAGATTTTTCCAGGTCTCCCACATGGGTTCAGGGGCCCAACAACTTAGGCCATCTTCCACTGCTTTCCCAGGTCATAGCAGAGAGCTGGATAGGAAGAGGAGCAGCCAGATCTCAAACCAGTGCCATATGGGAATGCCAGTACTGCAGGGGGTGGCTTTACCTGCTATGCCACAGTGCTGGCCCCCTCCTTTCCAATTTTGATGCCCTTTATTTCTTCCTCCTCCCTAATTGCTCCTGCCAACACTTCAGTTATGTACTGAATAAGAATGTTGAAAGTAGACATGCCTATCGTGTTCAAGATCTGAGGAGAAATGCTTTCAGCTTCTCTCCATTCAGTATGATATTGGCTGCCAGAACATTAGTGACTACTGAGGCATAGACACCTCTCATTCTATACCTCATGCTTCTACACTCCAAAATGCCTATACTTAGGCTGTGGCTAGACCCAAAATAGGGAGTCAAACCAGGATTCTCATATGCGTGGACAGAACCAAGTTCCATAATCCATCACCACTTCCTTCCAGGGTCCCCAAGAGTCAAAAGTACAGGCCAGGTGTCAGAGCCAGAAACTGATCCCATGTAATCTGCTAGGCTAAGTGTCCTATCTAGAAGTCATTTTCAAAGGAAAAGTTGATTTTAGTTATTTATATATATGCGATGTTATATCAGTTTGGTTTTGGCACCAAACTCTGAAAATGTGACAACAAAACAAGCAGAAAAATATAGAATCCCGTAGAACTTGCTCTTTTCTTTAAGCCTTTCAAAGAATTCCTTTTCAGGCCTTATAAGAATAATGTAGCACTTGGGGGCAAAAATGCACCCCAGGAGTCCCGCACTGGAGGCCAAGATGGAGAAGACCTCCACGGCCACCATGACCTTCCCCTTGGTGCTGTGGTAGACAGGCAGGAAGGTCACCCAGACACTGCAGAACACCAGCATGCTGAATGTCAGGAACTTGGCTTCATTGAAAGTGTCAGGCAGATTCCTGGCTAGGAAAGCTACAGTGAAGCTCGCTAGGGCCAAGGAACCCAGGTAGCCCAGGACACAGTAGAAGGCAGTGACTGAGCCCTTGTTGCACACCAGGATGATGTGGCCATGCTCAGCATATGCATCTAACTCAATAAATGGAGGAGAGATTCCCAACCAGATGCCACAGAGAGCTAGTTGGATCAAGGAACAGATGGGAATGATGAAGTTAGAAGCTCCGGATACAAGCAATCGCCTGATAGTTCTTCCAGGTTTCATAACCTTGAAAGCCAGAATCACAGTGATGGTCTTGGCCAGCACAGCAGAAATAGCCACTGTGAACACAAGACCAAATGTTATTTGTCGGAGGAGGCAGGTGGCTGTGTTGGGATGGCCAATGAAGAGTAAGGAGCACAGGAAGCACAGGAGGAGGGCGATGAGCAGGATGTAGCTGAGAGACCGGTTATTGGCCTTGACGATGGGAGTGTCTCGGTGCTTCACAAAGACCCCCAAAACTGCAGCTGTGAGGACAGAGAAGCACAGAGCCATGCAAACCAGAGCCATCCCCAGGGCATCCTCAAAGGCTAAGAAGGTCATCATCTTGGGGAGGCAGTGACTTCTCTCCATGTTCGGATACTCATGCTCTGCACACTGGATACACTGTTCTGCATCTGTGGAAGAAGAAAGGCTGAGTTTCCATTACTGAAAATCTGAAATTTTTCCTGTTGGGAGAATTGGTCACTTTGAATACCATTTTGAGTATAAAATACTCTGATGTAATATGAGGCCACACCCAGATAACCATGCCATCTTACCAGTTAAAGTGATCAGTTTAACACCAAAATTGATCATAAAGATAGGATTAAACATCAAAGGTGTCGCTCCCCCTCTTCGTGGAGGAGCAACACAGGACCCTGCGCTGTTCTCCTCGTCTGCTCGGCCCTCCCCGGGTTTGCTGCTGGTTCTTCCCGGGTTGGCTACTATCCCTTCCACCTCCGTGGAAGGGCAGTTCCCCCTGGCCGCATTCCCCACTTCCGCAGGGGAGCAGCACACCGCTAGCCGGCTTTTCTCGGGGGCTGCACAGGTGTTCCTTCAGCTAGATGTTCCCCATAGATGTTCCTGGTGCATGCCGTCTCTCTCCTCCTTTATAGTCCTCCTCCGCCAATCCTAACTCGGCTGCCCACACGCCGAGTACGCTGCTCTCCTCCAATCAGGAGCAAGTCCTACAGTTTATTAGTTGAACTGGAGGCAGCTGTGCGGAAGCTGTTTACTTCTCTCCCAGCGCCACACTGTGGGAGAGCAGATGCATAGAACAAGTCCCAACTCGAGCAACCCAGTCCAGTCCGGATTGCTCCCCACAAAAGGGAACACATAATAAGACCATTGTCTGCGAATAATAATTGATAGAATTAAACAGGAGTGAATGATCCAACATTAGAAGTGGGATACACAGCAGCCTCATAGAATGGCAAATGCCATAAACAGCACTCTGGCCTCAGATTCATTCCTTAAGGCATTCCAATCTGAATAAAAAGCCCATGAGAGTTTCTCAGGCATGGAAACCCAAGACACACTGTGGTAAAAAATGACCTAAATGAAATATCTCTGTGAGTGAGATCCCAGCAGAAAGAACAGGCCATCAAAGGAGGTATCTTTCTCTGAAGGGAGGCATTTCCATTATGACTACGGCCTTGTCTAAATAAGGTCGGAGTTTGTGAACTCAAGAGGCTTCCATAGCCTTGGCTGCTCATGACAAGAGCCTCGGTTGATCACTGACATTATAAATAAGAGTGTCAATTATTAAATCAACAACAGGAGTCACTGTGCACTTACTCCCCACATAGGATCTCTGTCCTAATGAGTTGTACTATGATAATTAATGGTAAAATTAGTCTTCAAACAGTACTTTAAATTTGTGTGTCTGTGTGGGTGCAATCTGTTGAAATCTTTAGTTAGTTTATACTAAATTGATCTTCTGCATATAAAGATAATTAAAAATGAATCAATGAAGAATGGGATGGAAGAGTAGGAGATGGGGTTGTTTGTGCATGGGGTAGTAGTTATGGGGGGGGGAAACTGCTGTAATCCAAAAGTTGTACTTTCAAAATTTGTATTTATTAAATAAAGTTTTCTTAAAAATATGAGGCCACACCAGAGCAAGTTTCTACATTCCTGACCCAGGGAGAATTCTCATCTACAAATGGGAACAAACTATTTCAAATGGCATCTTTAGCAAATGAGTGGTTAGGGTGGCTCATCCTGTGGCACAGTGATGTCCATTTGCATTCTTCTGAATTCCTCCCCCTGCTGTCTCCAGTCTTTCTCATGCTCAATCCTGCATCATCATGGCTTAGAACATTTGCCTAGGATAATCAGCTTTAGAGCTTTACTTCTCTTGCAGAGAAATAAAAATGCAAAATGCCTATGAAATCCTTACAACAATCAATATCTAGCATTTCTTCATTGATACTATTTGATATCTGGTAAAAAAAAAGTCTTTCCTTGTTTTATATTTTCATAACTCTAGGACAATTTTTGTCAGTTATTCAATGCAAAGGTTGAAATATATTTTATCAAATCAAAAACATTTGGATTTTATGGAGGAGTTTGACTTTATTATAAGTCATTTGGGTATAACTGATATTTTCAACAAAATTTTCAAGGAGAAATTAGGTTTTTGAAACTTTCCAATTTCACCTGAAATAAGGGCTTATTACCCTTCTGCCTCATGGAAGGAATGGAATACTTTGAGCTCTGCACACCACATTGTCCCTCATGAAAAAACTCTTGTGCCATTACACAACAAAGAAGTCCTAAATAGAGGTCAATGAATGGGTATTTCTCTGCTTCAATGACATTTCAGTTAAATACAGAAAATGGTATTGATTTGGCTACCTTTATCATAAAGGTATTATACAATTTTTGCATGTTGGTACTTATTCAATCATAAATATTCAGAAACATTATAAAATAATTCTCCCTGGCAATTTTTATCTGGAGATACTCATTCTTCATATATTCAAGAGGTGTGATCTCAGAGACATTCTGAAGGCACACAAGCAAATGCTGCTGCACAATGGGCTTCAAGTGTATGTTCATTCATTTTTCATACTTTTTTATACATTAGTGAGTATTCCCAAAAACCCATTATGGATAAGTTAAGTCATTGTTTCTTTACCTTTCTAATGACTAACAATATAAATTTCCTCTTGGGAAAGATTGAAACCAATGGTTGCTACTGATAACATCATTGAATCAAATGACTCCAAGGTCTATCTCTTAATATTGTGAACAATGGAAATAGTTCTTATTGAGACCTAGTATATTTTATACTTCTCAGTACATTCATTTTGATTCATAATTTTGAAAGGTAATTTCTTGTCTTGTTCAAAAGTTTTATAGGGATACTAAATTGTGTGCTTAATTAGGTTGTGGTATTCATATATCACTTGGAACATTTCTCTTAATAAATTCCATAGACCTGAGAGAAAGTGTTGTGGTTTAATTAGTCATCCTTAGTCTCACATATAATATTAAAGATACGGTATTAAAAGGAATGCACAGAAATAAGACTGGAAGATGGTGGAATAGTGAGGGCGCACACCGATAGTCTGGGAAAAGATAGTTTAATAAAAGTGGAGTTACGGTAGCCTCAGGAAAAGGATCAGGGAAAAAACTGCAGAGGGAACTCTTCCAGATCTAGTGGCTGTGACTCTGAGGACCTACAGGAGAGCAAGGTCGCCCACCACGTGGAAGCCAAGCCATGGGACCCGCTGGACCCACCGAACCCACCAGAGCTGCAGAGTCTTCCCGCCAGCACGGGAAGGGGAGGTGAGAAAAAAACCTCTGGTAACCTGAGACATTGGTGGGGAAAGGCAGAAAGACCCTGAAGAGAACAAGGAATGAAACCCCATTGGGGAAGTTCAGGATGGCTGGAGGAGAGAAAAAAAATCAAATAAATAAGGGTAACTGGCACGGACATTTAGCTTCTCTCTCCACTCACCTTACAAAGCCGAGCAAGACAAAGGGCAAGTGCCATTTTATGTAAGTAAAGTGGTGTGTACCATTTTGCATATGCAAAGCGGGTGCCCCTCATTAGCCAAGCAGAAAAACTTGACTCTGGTAAGCAAACAAATAGCTACAGGGGCCACATTTCATACATCAACTACTCTCAATTCCACTCAGCTGTGTGGAATTACTTCCCAACTATGTCAAAGAGAGAGAAAGAGTGAGCAAGAGAACAATCAGGGAAAATCACCTTTGGCACACCCTTAACCCTGTAGAACCAGAGCTCTCTGGTCACACAAATCACAGCCTCTAAGGATCCATCAAAAGCAGACAGTCCTCTTAATCTAGAGTCACAGTATAATGAGAAAAAAACAAAGAATATCTCCAATATCACAAACAAACGCAAAAGCCGAGGTAACAAAAACAAGGAAGACACTATGACACCCCCAAATGAAACAGACACCCCAATTCAAGATTATGAAGATGATGAGATAGAAGAAATGCAAGAAGCGGATCTCAAAAAATTGATAAGAACATTAAGAAGTTCTCAAAAACAAATTCTTGAACTACAGAAATCCTTAATGGACAAGATAGAAAATCTCTCTCATGAAAATGAAATATTAAGGAGGAATCAAAATGAAAAGAAAAAACTAGTAGAGCCTAAAAAACAGAATGGGTGAAACAGAAGAGAGATCATCAGACTTAGAAGACAGAGCACAGGAAAATATACAATCAAACCAAAGAAAAGGAGAGGAAAGCAGAAATCTAAAAAATAGTGTTGGGAATATTCAGGATACTATTTAAAAAAAAAACAACATTCAGGTTCTAGGAGTTCCTGAAGGCATGGAGAGGGAGAAAGGATAGAAGGCCTTTTTAGTGAGATATTAGCAGAAAATTTCCCAGGTTTGGAGAAGGACAGAGAAATCCTAGTACAGGAAGCCCACAGAACCCCTAATAAACACGACCAAAAGAGATCCTCACCACGACACGTTGTAATTAAACTCTCCACAGTGAAACATAAAGAAAAGATCCTAAAATGTGCAAGAGAGAAACGTCAGATTACTCTCAGAGGATCTCCAATCAGACTCACAGCCGACTTCTCATCAGAAACTCTACAAGCTAGGAGGAATGTCGAGATATAGCCCAGGTACTAAAAGAGAACAACTGCCAGCCCAGAACATTATATCCTGCAAAGCTATCATTTGTGAATGAAGGTGAAATAAAGACTTTTCATAACAAACAGAAATTGAAAGAATTGGTTGCCACTCGTCCAGCCCTGCAAAAGATGCTTAAAGATGTGTTACACACAGAAACAAAGAAACACGGTCATCAATATGAAAGAAGGTAAAGGAAGGAAACCAAGGAAGGAAAGCTCACAGCAAAAGATCACAGGGAATTCAAAGCATATATTAGAACTTATCTTTGGCAAATGGCAGGGCAAAGTTACCACTTATCATTAGTCACATTGAACGTGAATGGCCTGAACTGTCCAGTTAAAAGACACCGATTGGCTGATGGGTTAAGGAACAAAACCCATCTATTTGCTGCTTACAAGAAACACATCTTTCCAACAAAGATCCATACAGACTGAAAGTGAAAGGCTGGAAAAAGATATATCCATGCCAACAGAAATGAAAAAGAGCGGGCGTAGCCATCTTAATATCAGACACCATAAACTTT